TCTTGGCAGGCCAAGGAGCTGTTAGCACACTGTGTGGCACCATGGAAACAAGGAGGCCATTGTGACACTCCAGGGCCCCATGGAACTAAGGATCCATGGAACATTGCAGGACCCCATGGAACATAAGTCCATTGGGACATTGTGGGGCCTCATGGAATCCTGGGGGCCATGATGACACTTGGAGGCCTTGTCGAATCAAGGGGCTCTGCAGGGCCTCATGGAATCAAGGAGACTATTCTGACATTTTGAGTCCCCATGGAACCAAGAGTCCATTGTGACACTGTGGCACCGAGGAGACCTCTGTGACACTGCAAGGCCTCATGGAAGCAAGGGACCATTGTGACACTCTGGAGTCCCATGGAAACAAAAGGCCAGTGTGACACATCTGGGCCTCATGGAACCAAGGATCCAATATGACACCTCACTGTGACACTGCAGGGCCCCATGGAAACAAGGGGACAGGGAACTGGTCTGGTTGGCTTGGCCTGACTGGTCCAACTGCCCTTGGCATGTCGGGGGTCTCTTCTCATGTACCCCTGAAACCCTGGGGCTCTGGGCTTTCCTTCAATTGGAAAAGAACTGCTCTTCTCATTCAAGCATCCATGACCAAAAGGGGATTTCCCCTCCAAATTTCCCAATATCCAGGGATTGTTCCCAGACAAAAGCTGCCATTACCAACAAGTCTGGCTGACCTAGTCTTCCTGAGAGCTGGGTCTCGCCTGCCCTCAAACACTGAGGCTCTGTGCTTTCCTTCCTATGGAAAAGAGCTGTCCCTCCTGCACAGGCACCCATGGCCAAAGCTGATACTTGTCCTCCAAAATTCCTTCATTCAAGGGTTTTTTCTCTCAGACAAGATCTCCCAGTACAGACAGGTCTGGCTGGCCTTGGCTTCTGGTGGTTGCCTGAATTCTGCCCTGAAACACTGGGGCTCTGCCCTTTCCATCCTAAGGGAAAAGAACCATCCTTCTTCTCCAGGTGCCCATGGCTGAAATTGGGATTCCACCACCAAAAGTCCTATATCCAATATTGCTCCTACACAAAAGCTTCCATTACAGGCAGGTCTGGCTGGCCTTGGTCTCTGGTGCCTGCAGTTCATCAGCCCCTGAAGCACTGGGGTTCTGTGCTTTCCTTCCTATGGAAAAGAGTCTTTTTATTCCTCCACAGCCAAAATTGCTACTCCTCCTAAAATATTCACTACATGAAGGGTTTCTCCCAGACAAAACCTGCGAGCTCTGGCTGGCACTGTGGGCTCTGATGGCCACCTGTCATCTGCGCCTGAAACACTGGGGCTCTCTGCCTTCCTTCCCATGAAAATAGAACAGTCTCCTCGTCCAGGGGCCATGGCCAAATTTGAGATTTGGCCCCTAAATTTCATGTATCCAAAGATAGCTCCCAATCAAAAGCTGCCAGGAGAGACAAGTTTGGCTGGCTTGGCCTCCCAGGGGCTGCTTCTCATCTGCCATCAAACCCTGGGGCTCTCTGCTCTCCTTCAGATGAAAAAGAAATGGCCTTTTCATCAAGGGACCAGTGGCCAAAACTTGTATTCCACCTCCCAAATTCTGTGTATCCAAGGATTTCTCTCAGGCACAAGCTGCAATTCCAGAAAGGTCTGGCTCGCCTTGGTCCTTGGTGGCCTCTGCTCATCTGCCCCTGAAACACTGGCCCTCTGTTTTCCTTCCAATGGAAGAGAATTGTTGTTCACATCAAAGTGCCCATGGGCAAAACTGAAATTCGGCCTAAAAAATTCCATCTATCCAAGGATTGCTCCAAGGCAAAAGTAGCCAGGACACACAGGCCTGACTGGTCTTGTCCTGAGGTGATTTTCTTAGACTATCAGCAGAAGGTTTTCATTTGCCAATACCTTGGAGAGGGCTGAGAGATCTCCCAAGATGGGGTTTGGAGGCCTCAAGCACATGAGCACTGTACAGAGACAGTGGAGCTCTGTGCTCAGTGGGGTGGAGAAGGAGGACAGCAGAGGAGAGCCCTGGGAGGGACTGAATGGTGGTTTCAGAGGTGGTGGATCCTTTTGACAAGGTAGAGAACAGACAGAGAAAGAAAGAATTAATGCAAAGGACAGATAGGGAGGGCCAGACAGGACCCAAAGAGAAAGGAATTTCCCTCCCAGGGCAGGGCTGTGGTGCAGCACATCCCCCAGAAGGAGCCTGGGTCAGCCCCAGGCTTTGTGAGGGCAGGCAGAGGCAGGTAGGAGGCAGAGCTGTCAGCAGAGGAAGGGCCCAGCCAGGTGGGGCAGCCGGGGGATGCCGACAGCCTGCAGGGACAGAGGCGCAGGGCAGGGACACCGTGGGACAGCCTGGGCTGCACAGGGCACAGGGATGGGCAGCAGCTGCAAGACAGCCCTGCCAGAGCCACCTTGGGCAGCACTTTGGCCATGGCTGCTGGCCCTGGGCCTGAGGCAGGAGCAGGAGACAAGTGACCCTTGCAGGGCTGTGGCCTCATTGCCTCCTTGTCCCTGCTCAGCAGCCTGGCAGGGGCCGCCCCATGCTCCTGCCCTTGGCATTGCACATCCCCACATGCCAGTGCCCATCCCGGGAAGAGCCTGAGCAAGGAGGGAGGGACAGGATCTGCCTGGCCAGGGGCTGTGGCTCAGCCCTTGGCCATTTGCATTCCTGAAACACATCCAGCTTTGCTCAGCACCAGAGACAGCTTTCCCTTGCTTGTCCCCAGCTGTCATCACTGCCTCCAGTGTTCTGCTCTAACAGGAACCTGGGGACACTTTGTGAGTTGTGTTCCTCAGTGGGACCCATAAAAACTTTAAGAAACTTTGGAGTCTAAATTTAAATTTGAGTGCTTGAGAAGTTTTTTGAACACTCTCTCAGGGACTGAGTCTGATGTAAACAACACCAAAGCCCCGAGAGGGCCATTAAAGTCCTTGTGCTGTGTCTGTGCTGCTGAGCTGGGCTGGGCTCCTGGCCCAGAGGCAGCTCCTTGCAAACCAAGAAGAGCTTCAAAAAGACATTTCCATTTCTCCTGCGGAGCAGCTCCTCTCCCAGCCCAGCAGGGCTGAGGCACTGCCTACAGCCACCCTGGGAACAGCACAGAGGCACAGAGAGCTTCAATCATTCAGGGCTGGGAAGGTGCTGAGAAGTGCCTGGGGCACAATCACTGCCAGCCCTTGGCACAGGAACCTCTGGCTGCAGGAGGATGCAGCTGCAGCTCCTGGAGTGATCTCCTAAAGCTGGAACATCCCAATGCCTGCAGACTCTGTGAGTACAACTCTGAGTATGTCTGGTGCAGGGGAGTGAAATGCTTATGAAGCTTTGACATGCTGAGGAATGCTTGTCAGTCATAAAATATTTCCAATACAAGGATTTCATTAAAAATTAGGACATTTCCAATGACTTTGTATTCAGCTTCCTAATATCGGAGAATGGCAGGGAGCGGGGGATTAATATTAAAGATTGATTATGAATTAATAATTATGAAATTTTAAAAGTTCCCAAGACATTGGAACTGTTATTTTTGTGTTCTGTAGATTCACAGGAGATCCCTAATGTGCTTTCAGCCACTCTGCCCAAGCACAACACCAGCATCCCCTTTGCTGGAGCCATCAGGCTCACTTTGAGCTGTCTTGTCTCCCACCTGCAAACAGAACGTGCTCCAGCCAGTGCCCTGCAAACAGGCAGGGTTCTGTAGGGCCAAGGAGAGGGCACAGAGATTTGGGGTCTGTGAGTGCTGGCACAGAGAGATCAGGCACTGGGAAACACCTGCAGGAGGAAAATCTGCAGGAAGCAGAGAGAAGATCAGGCAATGAGAGGAAACAAAACCCAGCAATGCTGTGGCAGGGAGAGTTTAGAGATGCCCACAGGATCCCCTCCAGTGCAGCCGCTCCCTCTGAACAAGCCCCCTCCCTCCTGTGCCCCAGCCCAGCCTCTGCCCTCAGGGCCGGGGCTCCAAGGCGTGCAGCCCCTCCTGTGCAGGCAGAGCTGCAGCAGAGCCGTGGGGCAGCTCTGCAGCCCCGGGCCCAGTTCCCTCTGCAGAGCACAGGGCTGGGAGCAGCTGCCCGGCCCTGGGGGCTCTGGAGGGGGCACCGCTGGCTCAGGGTGATGCTGTCCCCAGTGCCCGGCTCTGGGCAATGCTGTCAGGGCAGCCAGGGAAGGAGCTGCATCACCCTTAATCCAATGCCAGCATAAGGACACCTCGAATATCCCTGAGATTCCAGTCCAAGCTTTGAGCTTCCCTCCAGGATACAAGCCTGTCCTGTAGCATATCTGTGTTGTCTAAAAGCCCCATGGTGAAACACAGAAGGTCTGTGATGAGAAAATGCTGCTGGGTTGGTGAAATGAGCCCTGTCCTGGGTACAAATGTGGGGCTGAGACCTTGAGAAGGGGATGGACATTTGGTGGACTGTGGGGATCCATCTGCTCTCTGCAATGTCCGGATGGTTTTTAAGGGAAACATGGGAGGGTGATCATCCTCTGTCTGGGAAAGGTGAAAGCCTAGACAATCCTGGAACAGGATAGGGTGACAGACCTCCTTCCCTCCCTCTCCACTCACCACCTTGCCTCAGAGAACTCACTGTTCTCCCTGAGGGCAGCAGAAATGCAGAGAGTTTCTGACATCCAAAAATAATCAGCAGGGGAGATGAAGAAAAGCTGTAAATAACACTAGTACATTTAAACAGACTATACCATTCCTGTTCTCTGGCAGTGGGAGGGCAGATGCTGACAGGGCCTTCTGTGTTAACAGAGATACAAAGAGGAACACGAGGACAGATCTCTGTCCCTCTCCTATGTCTGCACAGCAAGGCTGAACTATAAAAACCTCTGTGTGTAGCTGCCCTGAACCTGAAGTCCCAGTCAGGCAGCACCATCCAGGGCTCCACACTTGGAGCTGAAGGAAAATCTTCCAGAAATTGAAAAGGGTGTCAGAGTGTTACAAGAGAAGGGTCTGTGGGAAAAGGCTTTTTTTTTTTTTTTTGCTGGAAGAGGTTTGTCATTGACTTTTCTCCATGAACAGCTCCCAATGGCCAGAGACAGCAAATGTCCAACAGCAGCTCCATCAGGCACTTCCTCCTGTTGGCATTGGCAGACACGCGGCAGCTGCAGCTCCTGCACTTCTGCCTCTTGCTGGGCATCTCCCTGGCTGCCATCCTGGGCAACGGCCTCATCATCAGCGCCATAGCCTGCAGCCACCACCTGCACACACCCATGTTCTTCTTCCTGCTCAACCTGGCCCTCAGCGACCTGGGCTCCATCTGCACCACTGTCCCCAAAGCCATGCACAATTCCCTCTGGGACACCAGCACCATCTCCTACTCAGGATGTGCTACACAGCTCTTTCTGTTTGTGTTTTTCATGTCATTAGAGGTTTCCCTGCTCACCATCATGTGCTACGACCGCTATGTGTCCATCTGCAAACCCCTGCACTACGGGATCCTCCTGGGCAGCAGAGCTTGTGCCCACATGGCAGCAGCTGCCTGGGCCAGTGCCTTTCTCTATTCACTGCTGCACACGGCCAATACATTTTCCTTACCCCTGTGCCATGGCAATGCCCTGGGCCAGTTCTTCTGTGAAATTCCCCAGATCCTCAAGCTCTCCTGCTCCAAATCCTACCTCAGGGAGCTTGGGCTTCTTGCTGCAAGTGTCTGTGTAGCCTCAAGCTTCTTTGTATTCATTATTTTCTCCTATGTGCAGATCTTCAGGGCTGTGCTGAGGATCCCCTCTGAGCAGGGACGGCACAAAGCCTTTTCCACCTGCCTCCCTCACTTGGCTGTGGTCTCCCTGTTTCTCAGCACTGCCTTTTTTGCCTACCTGAAGCCCCCCTCCATCTCTTCCCCATCCCTGGATCTGGCCCTGTCAGTTCTGTACTCGGTGGTGTCTCCAGCCCTGAACCCCCTCATCTACAGCCTGAGGAACCAGGAGCTCAAGGCTTCCATGTGGGCAATGATGACTGGATGCTTTCAGAGACATTAAACTACTGGCCTGTTTCTGCCAATCACTTGTAATAAAAGTAATTTTCAATACTTCTTGTTAGTTTCTTTTTCGAGGTTCTTTACCATTTTAAATTTTAAATATTGTCTACAAAGTGATGTCATTGTTTGTGCCATTTCTCATTTTCTTTCCCTTCTTCTTTACTGTGACACACAGCCTGTTTCTATGAGGAGCTGTGCTCTCAGTGGCTGTAAATGAACTAAAGGATCTCCCAGGAAAGTTTTCTGCAGAGATGCCCTTTTGTTGCCTTCCCTGGAGCTGCAGCAGCAATGTCTGTGTGCAGAGATGGGGGCAGATCAGGGCTGGCCCAGCAGCTGTGCACAGCAGAAGCAGCACTTGGTGTTTCCAGTGCTGCTGCCGTGGCCCTGCCCTGCTGCCCTGCTGGCCCTGGTGTTGCTGCAGGGCCTGAGTGCTCTCAGGGCCGGGCACAGCCCTGGGGGTGGCAGTGCCGGGGCTGCAGCAGGGACAGGCCATGGGCACTGCTGGGGCAGCGCTGACGCCTCAGGCCAGGGCCTGGGGGCTCCAGGCTCCTTGCCCAGGCTCTCTCAAGAACACAGCCAGGCCAATGCTCAGCACAGAAAACCCCCGTGAGCAGCCCCAGGCTGGCCGTGGGCAGGCTGGGGGCAAACAGCATGGCTGGGGCTCTGCAAGGGCCCTGGGGCAGACAGGAAGGAGCAGCAGAGCAGGGGCTGATCCATCCCCAGTGCACGGCACAGCCCAGGGCAGCGTCCCAGAGCGTCCTCATGGAGCTGCCAACAACATCCTCCCCTCTGCAGCCCCGGCCTCTCCCCCAGCTCACACAGGTGCCCCATCCTTGCAGGCACAGACACGGCAGCACTGGCTCAGGAGCCTCTGTTTGCATTGCACAGAGCAGGCAGGAGCACCCCCATGCTTTTGCTGTGGGGACATGAACCTGAGGGAGCACAAATGCCATCAGCCCCTGGGGCCAGCAAGGGCTGGGGGACGCCAGGGAAACCACTCAGGTTTATTGTGATGACCCTTTCAGTTCACCAATTCTAACCTACACCCTAACACCATATTGTCTGCCCTGAGCCTCCAGATTATACTACCGCAACTCCCATATGTCCTTTCAACCAGACTTCTGTTCCAGACCCCTCCCCAGCCTTGTTGCCCTTCTCTGAACACGCTCCAGCCCCTCCATGGCCTTCCTAAGCTGGGGGCCCAGAATGGGACACAACACTCAAGATGTGGCCTCACCAGTGCTGAGTGCAGGGGAAGAATCCCTGCCCTGCTCCTGCTGGCCACACCATTCCTGATCCAGGCCAGGAGCCATTGGCCTGCTTGCCCACCTGGGCACACTGCTGGCTTATGTCCAGCCTGCTGTCCATCAGTGCCCCCAGGTCCCTTTCTTCCTGGCCGCTGTCCAGCCACTCTGTCCCCAGCCTGTAACACTGCAGGGGTTGTTGTGGCCAAAGTGCAGGACCCAGCACTTGGACTTGTTAAACCTCACCTTGTTGGATTTGGGCCCTGGATCCAGCCTGTCCAGGACCCTCTGTAGAGCCCTCCTACCGTCCAGCAGAACAACACTTGCAGCCATTTTGGTCACCACAGTTGTATGAGGCCGTAACGTGTCAAAAAGGCCCCTTTTTCCTCTGGGACCCCTTGGTGTCAAAAAGTTCCTTGGATCCTTGAGCTCTGCAGTGTCACAATGGACCCATGATTCCATGAACTCTCACAGTGCAGCAATGCTCTCCTTGGTTCCACAGTGTCACAATGGCCTCTTGGTTCCAAGAGGCCACCACGTTGTCCCTGTCAGGGACTCATTGGCCCCTTGGTTCCATGGGGCCCTGCAGTGTCACAATGGCCTCGTCATTGCACGGGCTCCTGCAGTGTCACAATGGCCTCCATGGTTCCACAAGGCCACACAGTGTCACAGTGGTCCCTTGGTCCCATGAGGCCCCAGAGTGCCCCAATGGATTCCCAGGTGGAGCAGTGTCACAATGGACCCCTGCTCACACAAGATCCTGCAGTGTCACGAGGGACCCTTGGTTCCATGGGGCACCACAGTGTCACAATTGTTCCCTATGTGCTGGTTTTGCATTAACTGATATTTGGTGAGGAGTGAAGAAACCACCCACAGAAATGATTCTTCTGAGAGAGCTGCTGAGAGCTTCCTCTGTGCCTAAAAGCAGCAATCAGTGACTGGTTTTGAAGACTGACACCTTTTTAAACCACTAGAAAGCTGAATACACCTCTATGAACACACATGTCAAAAATAAACAAACCCTGGAAAAAATGCTCCCTTCTGGCCTGGGAACTGGTAAACAAGGTCGGCCTGGCTCCCGTCTCAGCAGGCCTGGATGGGCACTGCCATGGGGCCGGGCCCCTTCTCAGGGACCCTGCCCAGCCCTGTCCCAGCACAGCCGGGCACCAGCAGCTGCCAGGCAGGGGCAGGGGAGGCCATCCGCCTGTGGTGTGTTCCAGCTGAGATTTCAGCCATTTCTCCCCGGTGTGGCCGCTGCACGAGATCATGTGGCTGAGGCCAGAGGCGGCCTTGTAGCCCACACCGAGAGTGGCCCTGTGCCTGGAACTGAACGCAGCAGGGGCCAGAGCCCGGCCATGGGGCTGATCCTGACACAGCCCCCAGGGCAGCCTGAAAAATCCATCACCGCGATTGCTTCAGCCGCCACACAGCAGGAATCACATGAGCATCTGCAGGGCCCAGGTGAGATATTAACTCTTTCAGTGCATAGATAAGGCTTACAGACCTTCAGTCCTGCCTCAGGTGAGAGAAAAGGACAGAGTGAAGCCACGCAGAGAACAACATGAGACGTGAAGGTCAGTTAGATGAAATCAAATCCCAGATGGGAGGCTTGAGGAGATGCCTCATTCCTGGGCTGAAATCCTTGTGTAAGGCTATGGAGAAAATATAATTGATATATCAGACTCTTTTTTCTCTGTAACTCATTGAAAGTATACAGGGATTAAGTGTTCAAATTGTAGATATGAGCAAAGGCACTTCTGCTAAAGCAAGCAAATGTTAAAGTAGCTGTAATCCCATGAGAAGTTCAAACAGAGAGAGGAGTAATGAAGACCCTTTGGCCCCAGGGAAAGAAGAAGACCTCTGTTCCCAGAGATTAAGTTGATCTCAGAAACAGATAAAGAGAAACTTTGCTCTTGATCAGCTCATACTGAAATTTATATCCCATAAATTGATATAGTCCATAAACACAGCTGTGGGAAGGCTGTGAAGAGATGAGAGGGACATCACAATTGCTGATTCCTGGGCAGCTGCTGTTTGTGGAAATTAAAAGTAACAAGGGAACTGTTTTCTTGTTGAGAAGTTTCCATAAAATGACAAGAGGGACACCTCTCCCTAAATGAACTGAAGAAAGAATATTCTAGAGGTGATAAACTGACTGAATCGTTTCTGTCCATTGTTAGTGGGAAAGAAAAGGTTGTAGGAGGGAGGAGAAATGTTTTAAAAGTTTTATTCTGATTCTCATTATTTTTTCATTTAGTTAATAAAGTTTTCTGTGTACCCTTTTAAAGTCTCTAAGCCTGCTTTGCCTTCCTCCTAATCCTATCTCACAGCAGAAAAAGAGTAAGTATATTCTAGTGGAGGCACTGGCATTTAGCCAGCACTGAACCCCCCACACCTTAGTTCCACCAGTCCCTGCAGTGTCACAATGGCCCCTTGGTTCCACTGGGCCCCAGGGTCTCACAAGAGTCTCCTTGGTTCCATAGTTCACAATGGCCCCTCAGTTCAACAAGGCCCTGCAGTGTCACAGTGGCCTCCATGGTTCCACGAGCACCCAGAGTGTCACACTGGACTCCTTGCTTCCATTCAGCCCCACAGTGTCACAGTGGGGCCTTGGTTCTGTGGTGCCTTCAGTACGCAGTGTCACTGTGATCCTCTTAGTCCCACGAGGCCCTGCAGTGTCACAATGGCCCCTTGCTTCCCCAGGGCCCTGCAGTGTCACAATCATCACAGAATCATAGAATTAACCAGGCTGGAAAAGGCCTTGGAGATCAGAAACTCCAACCTGTGAGCCAACACCACTTTGTCACCCAGATCATGGCACTCAGTGCCACATCCAGTCTTTCCTTAAATACTTCCAGGGATGGTGACTCCACCACCTCCCTGGACAGCCTATTACAATGCCCAATCACTCTTTCTGTAAAGAATATTTCCTCATTTCCAGCCTAAATCTCCCCTGGTGCAGCTGAAGGCTCTGTCCTCTTGTCCTGTCACTGTTCCCAGGGAGTAGAGCCCGATGCCCCCTGGCTGCACCCTCCTGTCAGGGAGTTGCAGAGAGTGATGAGGTCTCCCCTGAGCCTCCTCTTCTCCAGGATTAACAATCCCAGCTCCCTCAGACACTCCTCACAGGACTTGTGTTCCAGACCCCTCCCCAGCCTTGTTGCTCTTCTCTGAACACGCTCCAGCCCCTCCATGGCCTTCCTAAATTGGGGCCCAGAATGGGACACAGAACTCGAGGTGTGGCCTCACCAATGCCAAGTGCAGGGGAAAAATCCCTGCCCTGCTCCTGCTGGCCATACCATTCCTGATCCAGGCCAGGAGCCATTGGCCTTCTTGCCCACCTAGCTCAGCAGGTCCCCAGCTGCTTCCTTCTGGATTACAGGGAGGCTGCTCTGCTCCCTGTGCCCATCCACCAGCTAAGGAGAACACTTGTTTTGAAGACAACCTGTCCTAATGTTGAAAACTGGGGCAAAGAAGGTGTTAAGCAGCTCAGCCTTTCCTTTTCCTTAGTTACTCTATTCCTCACTGCCTCCAATGAAGAGTAGGTGTTCTACTTATCTCTCCTTTTGCTTTTAGTTTTTTTAAAAAACATTTTTTATATTTTTCACGTGGCCAGGTTAAGCTCTAATTGACCTTTCACCACTCTACTTTTCTCTCTGCATGACCTAACAACATCCTTAAACACTTCCTGAGATGCCCGACCTTCTGTCCAATGGTGATGCACTCTCTTTTT